CATTTCGAACTTGCACACATGAGAAACTACTCAGAGACCCTTTGAAGGGTTTCTTTTGAAAAGCCATGCCAATATTCAGACCTTACACCACATGCTCTGCTGGCCATATATAAAGCTGACATATATTTACAAGTGACACTCTTATGCAGCTGTTCTTTTCATGTATTTTCTAAACCAACCAATGACCCCATAGAGAGTACAGCATATAGTTCAATTCTTCTTAAACACGCAATCAGGTGAAAGCACTAATGGTTTGAGCTTGACAAATATTTTATTAAGCAACACCGTAGTCACGTATGCATCACAACAAACAAGTTGAGATTTCATTGTGTTGTTCCAGACATTTGATTGGCTGGATTTGAAAATAGGACATTTGATTGACTGGATTTGAAAATGTTGGAAAATATTGTTTCAGTTCTGTCATGTGATTGGTTTTCATCGTCTGAGTGGCCACAGTTTCAGTAAACACACTGTAAGAGCGTGTCTGTGTAAGAACCAACCACGCAAATTTTCGTGGAAAATGGATTGCCTTCATTTTTTCTACACAAGTCAAGCAACATATGCAATGAACAAAAATTGCCTTCATTTTGACAAATTCACTTTCTCTATTTTTGATGAATTTTTTTGTAGGTACCTTGAAAACCACATAAAACCGGAAATTGAAACTCGGAAAGTTAGGGGTTACGTTATGCTTGCTCAAAAATTCGCACATTAAATGAAACAATGTAATTCTTTCAGAATTACTGAATAATTCTTTCCTCTTTCCACAAAACTAAAACCTATTTGCTTGTCTTAAACACAAGCAAAGTTATGACGTTTCATCCTGATGTTCTAAAAAATGTCTTTGCCATTTTTGCTGACTTAGCCTCTAAACAAACAGATCTTTTTCAAAAGTGGGACCTCTACATGAATGATGACTCTTAGCGTAATGAACTAAGCCTAAGCTACAAATATCTGTATTAAAAGTTGCGGGCACTCATAATTTTGAAGAACAAAAAATGTGAGAAAATAGCTGAAAATTTAACATCTTGTCCATTAACTGAATTGTGGTTTTAATTTTCTCAGCGACCTTTTTGACATTACCTGATTAGATTTATTGAGTTTTAACATTTGGAGAATTCGATGAGACTTATTTTACACTAAAATATCAGAAAATCTTTCAAGCCTTGGTTTGCTTTTGACTTCTACTCTACTCCGGCACTGATCACTGATTGTCACCGGCCATTACGTCACGCATCACACATTCTTTCAAATTCTTGGTTGAAGCAGGCATTGATTTAAAATCTTGTTTTCCCATAGAAATGAACAGCCTTATTAGATTATTTTGATACTTTTTCCACACCATATCTTTTCATTTTCTTGGTTTTTATAAGTTTGCTCTAATTTTAGTTGAGTTACCACCAAGGCCAGTAGTGTAAACAATTGGGGTCAATGTCAACACCATTTGTCCGCTACTCACATTTGACCGTTCTTTCATGAGTTTCTTTTAATTTCACGAATTTCAATTACTAATAAATCAGTAGAACTTATTGAAGTATTTCAGTGCAAGGTGATATTTTATATTTTAGTACAAGGACGGTTTTTAAACTGATCTAAAACCGTGTAAACAGTTGGGGTCAATGCCAACACCATTTGTTCGCTACTCACATTTGACCATTCGTGAGACTTTTTTTGCGCAAATTACAATAATGATAATAAATCAGGAGAGCTTACAGAGAGATTTTTATCCAAACTGATATCCGAAATGGACCTTTTAACCGATGTCATGCTTTTCCAATTCTTTTATTCAAACAAAAAATTCAAACAAAAAATAACAGAACTGGAAGTGGAAATATTCTACTGCTGCAATCTTAATCTTGACACTTGCCTCAATGTGAATGCCTGGAACAGGCTTCAAGTTCAAACAAACATTTTTGAACTTTCACACAGTCGTTTTGCTTTTCTGTCAAAATTATACTCGGGGAAATAACCAAGTATCAGACACGTCCAAGTGTTATTGCCTAAAATGGAGCTGCATTGCTTTTTTGGTTTTATGTTTAGGGAGATATCAATTTTCTTGATTCATTACCCTGGTAATAAAATTCATTCTTGGCATGCAGTGAATCAAGGTTTAAGTTAGGGTTCAGTGAGTGACCGGCCAGTCGCAAATTGGGGTCCAAGGGCCTATTCAGCTAGGAGTTTTAACTTGATGAATTATTAGTGAGTTTTAGAAGACCATGGAATGCTCACAAGTTGCCAAAATTATTTGGTCAATGCATAAAACAAGTCACCTGGGATTGATAAAATCTCTACTCACATGATTAAATATAGCCATTACGCTACCCTGCCGGTCTTCATCCATTTTGTCATATGCAGCAACTACATATCTACTACAGCTTTATAAAACTTTGCCACCCAGATCATCAGCAATACCAGGAAGTTTGATCATGTGACCCCAATCTTATAAGATTTATGCTGGCTTCCACTCACATCTCCTGGGTTGTACCACTAAACTGCATAATAACATAATGCTGCATATCATATATCAGTGTGCTGTATCGTGCTCGTTTTCAGGTCTGTTGAAGTTATTTTCTTTTGATGGTAAATCTTCTGTTGATGACTATGCAAATCTAAATGAATACTCCAAAATCATTCGAATCTCATAGGCATTTTTACCAATATGTAGATAATTTGTCTTGCAGGGCTGAATCAGGTTTCCGTCATGTAGAAGCTAAGAAGTATACTCCCCGCCTTCTCCATGTGTTTGGGGAAAAGGTGAAATGCTTCAGTATTATGAATGTTAGTTTTGCAGGTGTTAAGCCAGCTGTCAACTGTTGTATTGTAAAGTATGTAGAGTTCCTGTGGCCTTCCTTGGGTTGCATTGGTTATGGATATCTTATGGAACTAAACAATTAACCATAACTTATCACTTCCTGCAGAACAAGGTGCAGATCAAGGAAGTGAAGTTGAAGAAAGATTACTTGAATAATGATGACGTTTTCCTGATTGACTTGGGACTGAAGATTTATCAGGTATAGTGAAAACGCATAGTGCACATATTCATCTGATTTTGTAGCCATACAGAAACTATCATGTCATAAACATAGGATGCTTTACGTTAAACCAAAAATTCCTAAATGTTTGAAAAGGGGACGATTTTTTGCGACATTTTCGCTGCTGTAGTGGTTTGTATAAGTCGAGTTGTCAGCAAACCAGTGGTCTGTTTGCTTCTATTTTTGAGATTTTAACATCAAAGTCATTGAAAACTTCCAAGCAGACGAAAGTGCAGCTTAACATTTTCCACTCAGGTGCAGTCAACCAGAAAATTATGTTCCATTTGCCCCAGGAAATTTCTGGAAATTCACACTGGAAGTTTTGGTTGAAGGGAGAGTGCCCATAGTCATGATGGATATAACAAAGTGGGACTGCAATGGCGAAGATTGCCACTTAAAATGGAGTAGGCTTGCTTAGCAGCTGCTGTTCAGGAAAGGAGTCCACTCTAGTAGACTGGAATTTGAGCCTGAAAACGGAATTAAGAGCTTTTTGATTATTATTTCTTTGAGTGCTTTGACAGAAAGAAATAGTGGTGTTTCATCATGAACACCACAAATGAGACCAGAATCCTTGATTTATGAAGGGATGAAGAGCATTCCCGACCTTTTCATTTTGGGTCCCCCCAGGCTTCAATGACTAAATTCTTCCCCTGGAAATTACAGTAATTCACCAAACCTTTTGATATTATAATTATTTAGATGGTGACAACACTTTACAAGCTAATTAAACTCCTGTTGACTCTTGCAGCTTTTGCTAATTTTTCTTGATTCAGAATGCCCCTTGATATATCCACTTAGCATATCAATTTTTTCTGTAGTGGAATGGTGACAACAGTAACAAAAACGAGAGGTTTGAAGCAGGGAAACATGCCAACCAATTGAGAGTAAGTATCCTCAGGGTCATCCTGAAATAATAATATTGTCATGTTTCAATTATGCCCAATTTGTGGATTATCAAAGGAGAGTGTATTGTATCATGCCAAACTGGGTTCTTTTTTATCAAACCTGGTTTATGACGCTTTGTGTTGTTGTCTTTTAGTCTGATCGAGGTGGCAAACCAAGCATAGAGGTTTTGGGTAAATTTCAGATTTTTCCTAAATTTCAGTAATTTATAAGAGACCGGAAGTTTTATCAAGTTTCATAATGTCTAATTTAAATACCCTTGGAAATTAATGTATTAAATATCTTTGTGGGTGAAAGACACCTTTAGATAAGATAAACTTTGAATAACAAAAAAACAAAATTTAATATTTTGTGGAGGGTAGGTAAACTATGGACATTATTTTCTTCAATTTTATTTCATCATTGTTTTCTTTTCTTTTCTTTTTTCCAGTATTTTCTTATTGAAAAATAGTATTCCAATTTTCATTGTTTAAGAATTAAAATGTATGGCAAAAGTTTGGTTACTATTTTCTTAAACTGCCAACTTCTTGTTAAATGATCCAACTACAAAATCAAACATTCTTTGGCACACAAAATAATGTAAGATGAAAATCCTTGACAGAGAGGAGGCATGACGTGAGATGAAGTTGCATGTTTTTTTACCAGTAGTGCTTGACAAGAGAAAAATCCATTGGCAACTTCACCTGTTTGCATTTGATTGTAATTTTTCCCCAGATCAATTGTGGGTCGTTTCTGTCAGAACTAGGTACTTCAAAGTGTCTTATCCGGCTGGTAGAGCTGACATTTTTTCGGTTCACAGACATTATTTCATCATAACAGATCAGCTTCAGTGCAAAAATATGCTCAATGATATTTCGCTTGGTTTTGCACATTTGCTTCAGGGTAACAATGTAGCTGATGTCCATTTCATTGCCACCAAACTGATCGCTCTTTCTTTTTATAGGTGTAAACAAAATTAATTCAGTGTTCCAAAAGGGAACAAATTGTCATGTACTATGATAGTTTTGTGGGTTTTTAATTTTTATTTTTTCTTTTAATTTTTTTGTATTTAATTAATTAAGTAATTTTTTTGTACTATAAATGTCCGGAAGAAACTGAATGCACAGTTAGTTGTTCATTAAATTTAAGCTTACATATATACCTGTTAATCCTCAAGTTAAACAACTGAGACCAAATCAAACGAAATTTGTTATTTAGTGTTATGTATTCTTCATGAATATAATATAATTGGCTGATAATTTGATTGGTTACATGGTTGCATTGTTAACTTTTATCTTGTATTAAATGGTGTTTTATCGATCAAGTGTTTAACTCCCACCCAACAGATAACTGCGTGGTTAGTGACGTACCGGAAGAGCTGTTGGAGATTTTCCCCGATGATGGAAAACCTGGATCCAAAAAACCTAAAGATAAGGTTTGTATCAGCTTGCTTTTTCCATTTTCGAGATGGTTATAAATTGTGTCTGAAGGTCTTTATGGAAGTGCTGTAATGTCAGTTATCAGTTAAGCTTAAGACTTCTTAAGCAATCATTAAAATTTCTCGTTTCCTTATGGTTCGAAAAACGGGCATTTACGATAGTATGATGTGAGGTATTTTTCCATAAAATCTAATTTCAGCAAAAGGTCGGACATAGAAGTCCGCGGCAAACATTTACAGACACGACAAATGATGCATAAAGAGGAAATTTGGAGCTCAGAAGTTCTTTAAAATGCGGTCAAATGTTTGACCAATTTCTTTTCTAAACTTTATATTCTCTATTTTCCAATTGCCCATAATTCACTCTGTTTGCGCCCCAAATTTTGTATAAACTATTGTTGTGAAATGCTCTTGGGAATATGCAGACCTCCCAAGAGTATTTCACAACAATAGTTTATGCAAAATTTGGGGGGCAAACAGAGTAAATTATGGGCAATTGGAAAATAGAGAATAGGGTATTTGATAATCAAAGCCTAAGGTATTTTTAGTTACACTAATTTATAATAGTCTTCAAGAACTGAAAAACTCGCGAGAAGGAAATGCTAGCCGAAAAAACTTTCTGTTTGAGAAAAGTCTAACTCTTCTATTATTTCTCGTCATAAAAACCATTTTAAAAGCGAAGTGACGTTTCTTACCTTCTCCTTTGACCTTATTTCATTCCCGAGGCTTTAAATTTCATTCAGTTTCCTCGCCAGCCCTCACATTTTATAGAAGGGTTTCTTTCACTGTTCTTTCAACTTCTTGGTTGGAACAACTGAATGAAGAAGCTGTGAAGGTCTGTGAACGGGATTTTCTTCACATGAGCTTTTCACGTTGTTCACACGTGGAAGCCACATTCTGATTGGTGTGCTGATTTCTCCCACGTGATGCGTGAAGCGCGTAGCGGTTTTTTCCCGCCGAATGAGATGCAAACATGGCACGAAATAAAACTTTCAAACCTGCTTTTATTTTATACCGTGTAGTTGGTGTACATGTGTTTCTTCAAAATGTCTTTTAAACCACTTGTATTCCGGTTGTCGGCCCATGTATGTTTTACAGGAGCCGCACCTCAACATTGGTCTCGTAACCAGGCGTTACATTATTGGTGGTCAATTCCATTCGGGCTTGTAAGTGGTTTCAACATCGTCTTTATCCCGCCGCCCTCTTGTATTTTCTGTGAACATTGAATATATACCTTGCCTATACTTAGTCCATCAATCGTTTTATAAACGTTTCTGAGTAGACTTTTCCTTCCTTACAGACTGATGCTGGTGGTCAGTTTGAAAAAGTATTGTTCAGGTTAGTTTATAAAATCTTCAGGATGAAGGAGCTATTTTATAAAGCCGTGGTCCTTCAGCGTTCCTCGGCAACCACTGAGCCGCTCATCAGCTCACCGTATTTCTCTGTGCTGGTGACATAACATGCGTGTGAAGTAATAGTAATTGGAACGAGTAAAGTGGAATACAATTCAGGGAGTAATAGGGGGAGTTATTTCAAAATCTGAAGAGCGCACAGCGAGAGGCCGATCTGAAATTATGAGCGCGATTACTCCCTGAATTGTACGATTCGAGGTTCAATTACTAATAATCGTATCAATAACAAATTTCGAGATTAAAAAAGTCTTTTAAGAACTTCTTTTGAGCGAAAAACTCATGGTTTTTTAGTATAAGTTGTAAAACTGTGGGGAACATTAAAAAGGAAGCCATTGAAGCTCATTTAATTGACGTGCGAGTGCTGAAGGTATCCAATTACATGCAGTTATCTAATTACAAAAAGTCTAAATTGGATACATGTGATTGTACCTCCACGTGATCGCGCACCAATTACGTGACTAATCA